TAAAATAATTGCATATGCGTTATGTATTCTCTTTAATAATATTTGTTTATTATTGTACCCGTTTTCCGTAATATTTTACTAGTATATTTCGCACATTATCCCGTTTTTCCTTCGTTTTTTTTTCGGTTTTTCACATTTGATGATAAAACTCCCGAGAAAGTCGAAAAATGACCTCCCTAAAGCATTAATCAAGAAAATTTCCGTTCGGAAAATGTTGAAAATATTGTAAACATCGGAGCAAGATTTCTGGTAGAGTATTTGTATTTACAGTATAAAAAAAGAAAAAAAAAACATTTTTGTAAAACCAATAAATTCTTCGCTACACTCTTGAGTCTAAAATCAAATAACACTATTAGGTACCTCCTAATAGATAGCATAATTAGAAACGATGGAAGAAATAGGAGAAAAACAATAATATGTAATTGTCAAGATAAAATAGCCTTGAAAAATAAGAATAAGTACCTATACTCTATCCCTAATCAAAAAACGTTTGTCTGAAAATCAGAAAAAAAATTATGTAGTATGTAGTTTCATGACAACAATCAAAAACTTAATATATCGCTCGGGGATGGCCATGACTCAGACAGAACACGATGTATACAAGGGTGGTTCATTTATCGTACAACACTCATCGTTTTAAAAAGTATTTATTTTTTTTCGGAATGCATTTGTTTTAGAAATTGTAAGAAGTCTTCACTCTACCGCCCCCCCCCCGAAACTTAAAAGTGGACTACCTCGACAACGTTCGACGGAAATCAAAAATGTCAACACAAAAATACAATAAAATATTTTTTTTTTCTGTGGACAACTTTTTTACCAGCAATTTTATTCCGATTTACACAGATAGAATTATTTCTAAAAGGAAACTTCACTAAGGAGATACTTTAAGCATTTCATATTTAGATTTTCCCAAGAGTGTTTCCAGAAAATGTTAAAAACCGTGAAAAAGCATAGGAAAATGAAGGAAAACCGGAAAAATAGGTACTTACAATAATAAACAAATATTATTAAAGAATATATGTGATACCATAATTCGCAAAATGCTGATACATTGTTGGAAAGCAACACTATCAATCAAACTCCGCTCAGAAACGTTTTTTCGTTAGCGACGAATTATCTTCGCTTACAAATACGTACATCAAATCACCTATAACAGTGACTGCACCCATCCCCCATTACCCCGGCTAGGACGGCTTTTTTTTTATTTATTTATTTTTATTTTACCGGTCGTTTTTTAACCGGATATTTTCGGTATAGGTTTTTTTATTTTTCCGAACAGGATCAATTGTCGCCGGATATTATTTACCGGACCAAATGACGCGGAACCCGTACCGTTCGGGCCGAGCTCGCGGACGACGCGGTCCGTAAAATGCGCTACCCGGCCCGCGACGCTTGTTACCGTCCTCTTTTGTGTACAATACAGCCGATGACCCGGCCGGGCTTTTCTCGGTTCGTACCCTTTCTCTCGCGGCCTCGTAATGTATGTATATACGCGCCTATATAATATTATTATAGATACACGCGTGTATCATGTTATATCCGTTTGGGTTTTCGCGGGGAAAATCTATTACGCGCCGTCTTCGGAGGAAAGCCCTCGAATTCGCATTAACGGTGATCAATCTTCATCCATCAAAAAAAACCTCAAGTCCGCTCCCGGTCCGAATGACGCTTGCGGCCGGCGGCCGGCCGGCGCGACGTCGGCAGTGGCGGCGGTGGCGTGACGAGGGTCGCCGACGTGTTGTATACGTTCGCGTATATATTTTATACTTATACGTATGAAAAATTATTATAACAAACGTGCACTCGTACACACATAACATACGACGTGGTACGTGTGCGGGTAATAAAAAAAACAGTATGGAAAAAAAAAAGAGATTGTTCGGGTAAATCGACAGGGAACAACGAATAGCGCGTTATTGTTTCCGCGTGCGGCTTATGCGATAATATTTTTCTACACGTCCGAAAAGGTTTAGCCGACTTGAATATTTTCCGCGAGTACACCTCGTCGACCCCGATTCCCAGACGGAAATTATTTCTCGGCTCGAAGAAATATTCGGATTATTTGCGATAGATTTACAAGACGTATACGGTAACACCGCGCATTGTGTAATGCCGTCGTAATCGTGACGTTCGGTTCGAAAACACGAACAATTACATACTCTTGGAAAAGACGTGATTTCGGTGAGATTAATAACGTAATGTTATTTCTATAGTATTGAATATCGAATATCGGATTGTTTTTTTTCCAAAACCGATATTTTCGTGGGGAAATATGTCAATCGCGTCTCTAGAATACGAAAAAAGCGTCGAAAAAATCATCAAATTTTTCAGTTTCAAGCTCACGTTTATCGATTTCTAATGTCGGATCGGGTATCGGGTTTACGTTAGTAGCGATAATATTGGAATAAAGTCACATCAGCGCTTATTTCACGCCATCAAAATCGTCAAGAAATATAAGATACGGTTTTTTCGTCCTAGATTTTTTCTTTTCGAGGTTATCGCGTGTACAAGACACTACGCATTACATACCGCGGGACACTTTTATATACTTGTCTAACTTACGGCGGTCAAACAAACTGTTATCGTATAAAATGATATAATATCGTAGTCGATATTTGTATCTGTATTTTACGAGAAAATCAAGACTTTAAACTGGGAATAGGTGTTATCACGGATTAATTAAATTACTGAAGACAAGAATAATATCGAAAAATCTACAGGTTCAGGTATATCGTACTCTCATCCGGCCATTAACAATGTCTATGTTTGTGAAACGTGGACACTACTCGAATCCGAACAAAATAAAATTTTTATTACGAACTTTATATCAAAGGCCTGCAGACATACCTGGGGAAAATTAGAAAGAGACGTCTCCAGTGGGCCGGTCATGTACGGAGAAAATAATGAGCGTCAATACGGTAATAATCCGAGATAGTTTGGCAAAGGGAAATAGACCCTTGGGGCGTCCAAGGAAAATACGGACAGATCGAATAAGGAGTGATGTGGAAAAATGTAAACCTGGTGATAATTGGCGAGAATGAGCAATGAATAAAGAAGAATGGAAAGCGTTATGTCGGCCAGTAAGATCCTAATGGTCGTGTGCATGACGAAAAGAAGATTTTACGCGATTCCAGTGCATACCGGATGGTCGAAACAAAATCGTTGCCACTCGAAATGCTCAGGGAAAATATGTAACGTTATTATAACTATAGTTTATAGGGCTCGGAAATTAGAGGAGTTGCATATTTTTCTGTGTGCACTGGATTTATATCAAACCAAGCTAGAAATTCGTTTCATACTGCGGAAAGTTTAAAAATCAAACATTTAAAATACATATTTTGCATATTCTGTTAACTTTAAAGAAAAAGTGCATATTCCTTCGATTTTCAATGATTTCCGCATAATATGTATGCTTAATATTCGTTAAAAAAAAAAAAATTTTTTTTTCTTTCTTAACAAATGTATTTTTTAGTATGTGTCCAATATTGAATTTAAAACTCAATATTATTTGTTGTTATTTCTTATCGTCTGGGTTTATTATTAATTTAACAACAACGGTGCGATTTAATCTTTATCTTTTTTGGGCATATTAATAATGACGTTATACGTTTTGAATAACTTTTTGCCTATTTGTACAATTTAGTTGCATATTTAACATTTTTTCATGCATACTTTACAATTTTTTCGCGCACATTGTGCCTTTTTTTAGCTCCTATAATTTCCAAGTCCTAGTTATTACTATTATTCCGCTCACGTTCGGCTGCAGTTATTTTTCGGGGTGGCGGAGACTGCGACGACGGAGTTATTACTTTTTTACGACGACGACGGCCTCGGCGAACGGAGTGTATCGCACAAAGCGCCGCGGCGATTTGTTTTTTCTCTCATCATCTCTGCCAAAGTAAATAATAAACTGGATTTCGAAATTTTAATAAACCCTCGACGCGGAAAAAAGTCCCGGGAATTAAGTGTATATACACACAAAAATTAATATATACGAAGCTGATTTACGTAAATTTATTCACAAGGGGTACTTGGCCGATATAGAAAGAACGCGAACGGGGGAAAAAAAAAAAAAAAAAAAAAAAAAACATTTTTCCTTCCATCATAAGGCCACGATTTTTATTCAAATTCCTTTTTCTTTCTAATCAAGAGCGCCGCATATTTATTGATCAAAAGTCTCCTCTCGACTCTTTGTGCAGTCGCTTTTTTTTTTTTTTTTTGATAATTATGATGAGTCCCCGAGGTGATGACGGTATATACATATATAAAAAAAAAAAAAAAATAAAAACTTGTGGAAGGGGCAAAAAAAAATCCACGACGTCAAAGGTATAATCCAATATGCAAAGTCGCCATAGTTAAAAAAAAAAAAAAAAAAAAACGGGGAAAAAAGGAAAACCGACCCGATTCGGAATTTTTCAACTTTGATCTTTACGCGATTTGCATTGTAAAACGTGTTTTATATTTTTCTTTGCCGGTGTTTTTCTTTTCCCAATTTAAACCGATTTTCTAAGAGCCCGCGAGGACGTCGAGAGCCGCCGCCGCCGCTTCGGTTTTAATTAACGTATTCATTCCGAATACATTTTCTTTCGAATAAATATTTCAAAAAGCAAACTTTCCGCTCTGAAATATATGTATCCCACGTAGTGTTTTTTTTTTTTTTGTGTGCGCTGTTTTCTTTTTCGACCGAGCCATATGATATCAATGCTGCGTACAATATGATAATTAATCGGATATTAATACAGTATATATTATTATATTGAAGTTTATCTCCGTATATTTCGCATTGGTTTTTCGCGTCCACCGAACCGCAAAAAGCAAACATTGTGGGAAGCATAAAATAAAATAAAAATATCCGTTTCCCATTGGCCGAACGAGACTCCCGGGGGTATAAAAGCTCTGTTGTTCAAATTGTTTCCCGTTCGGTAAAGACGGAAGATAAATAAAAAAAGGAGGAACATTTCCACCCGTGCAGCTATTTTCTATATACTAGCTATATACCAGTTCGGCCCTGAAATTATACTTTTAAATAATATAAAAAGGAGAGAGCCGAATGACTTCTGCAGCTGAAATGTACTCCTTTTTCCCCGTTTTATTTTTTTTTATTTTTTTATTGGTCTTCTCTTGGCGAGGATATAAATTAAACGAGTCGTATATAGAAGAAAGCGAATCGTTAGTTTAGGGCCGTACAAGCTCTTAAGATTATTGGTTTATTTTTTTCTTGTGGCATAACAATTGTGTTTTTTTCTCGTATAACCATAATGTATGATATAACGTAACCGGAGTAAATATATATATATAGAAAATAATAATACGCTTAAAAATAAAAATGATTAATATATTATACTCTAGACAAAAAAAAAAAAATGGCCTGTAAAGGCGAATAAATCTGACACGCACGAAAACGCGCATAAAGCGGTTTATAAAAGTTAAACTAATTGTCTGCGGACAAAAATAAAAAATTCGATTGTTTTACTCGTTAAAAAAATATATAATAATAAATACTGCAAGCATCTTTCTATTCAAATATATAAATGTGTATAGATTTATAAATTTGGTTTATGTATCCAATAGGGAATAAACACCGCTAATAAAATATATGCTTTATTGCACCAAAGGCGGCGATTGGGCGGCGCCTATCGAGAGAGCTTAGACTCCCTAAAATGTGTATTTTATATAAAAAGGCCAGTTTAAGTGTAATATAGTATAATATTAGGCTGTTTCGTTTTATTTTTTTTTTCCGAATTAAGACTAAAAATTTCTTCTTTGTGATCTCAAACTTATCAAAAAAAAAAATTTTTATAGAACTTGCAGATCATCGCATATTTAGTTTTTCTATTTAAATAACATAGGGAAGTAAAGATACTTTCAATTAAACTACATTCACTCATTAAGTACGAGCTTGTACATAGTTTTTTTCTTAAACATCACAAAAAATTACACAAGATTCACTTGAAATCAAGTGAAATTTTACTGTTTGAAGAATAACTCATTTGTAGAAATCTATACAAATTGAGTTTTTAGAACTTTTTTTATTCATATTAAAAGTTATATATTTCAGCCACTTTTTAACCAAAAGTGTTCAAATAAGGTTCATTTTGTAAGTTATGAAAATCGATCTTGCTATCGATTCTTGATTATAGATCAGCTTTATAAACTATAATGAGTTGAAAGTTAAAAAAAAATAGAGATTTATAGAAATGAGCTATTCTTATAACAGTAAATTATCTGTGTGAACAGCGTGAATCGTGTTCATTTTTTTGTTATTTTTAAAAAAAACTACATACGACCTCGTAATTTTCGAACTTAATGAGTAAATATGATTTAATTGAAAGTATCATTATTTTCTTATGTTATATTTAAGTGGAAAAACTAAATATGCGACGAGAAAGTTCCAAAATTTTTTTTTTTTTTGAAGGCTCAAATGTTTGTTATGTAAGTTTGAGACCATAAAAAAGCAATTTGATGTCTTAATTAAAAAAAAAAAAAGTTAAAGATTAAAACAGCCTAGGCTAGGGCTTTTCTAGATCCCTAAGAAAAAATACCATACTATTTTCACCAGTGTTTCGCTTTAAAATAACAGCATTTCAATTAAAGATAATATCATTGAAAAACAAACTAACACTATATAGGTATAATATACAAGGGCATAGATACTTATTGTACTCAATAATGAGACAGTGCCCATCACAAGAAAAAAAAATGTGTACAAAATCTTACGATATTCGAGAATAAAGTTTTAAAGTGCCACATTGTTGAGCTAAAGATAAATAAGAAAACTTGAGACTATAAAAGAAAGAACAAACCAATATACATATAAGAGATTTGTCGGGGCGGGAGAAGAGGATTTAGTAACAAAAAGATAAGCTGAACAGGACACATATGGTGGTTATGCGAGAATAACATATGATCCGAAAAATAGTAAAATGAAACCCGAAGAGAATAATAAGAGACTACCAGACAGAGACGGATGATCATGGATGTAAAGACGAGGACCCGAACCTGCTGAGAATAAACAGTGGTGAATAAATGGCAGCGAATATAGGAAATATAGGAAATATGGATGTGAACTGAAGGACCTGAATGGCATACGAGCAAAAATAAGAAATTTAAATAATATTATATTTAGGAGTTTTTCAAAGTGGCGTTGTGTACATATGTATAAAATAATAATATTATGTGATTATAAACTACAGAAATGATCAGAGTTGCAGTGGCGTCGCCAAGACGATCATGATGTTTTTTGAGACATCCTAAATTGATGGGTATACCGTGAATCGTGGTTGGTTGGAGGCATACAACTGTAGAATCATAGAACAGTGAGTTTGAATTAATGAGAACTTAACTAATAAACACTTGGCTACTGATTAATTTATTAGAGGAAATAGAGATAGGGGTAGTGGTCATGGTAATTATTGTTAAGCCTCCCATTTATTTAGCCTCCCACTTTAGAGTTGTATCCCGTAGTTATTATCATCAAGTATACTTAATATATAAAATTCGTTACCGTTCATTTGATTTCAACAAAAATGTTAACAAAAGTACTTACAAATGTAATAGTGTGAATAAATACACGCATCTGCGTGGATATGTGTTTACGGCAGCATTATAATAGTTTTTTGAGTGGAAATAAAAATTGGATGCACTATTTTTAGACCAAGCGTACCGGCAATAAAAAAAATAAAAATTAACGGATATAAATACACTTTATTTTTTGTGCACTTGAAATATTATATTATATTTAAGCGTGTTTCTATTTGTGTATATACGAGAAAAACGTACCTATCAAAAGCGTTTAAAATGACGTTTTCCACAGTAATCCAAATGGAACAAACAACTTTTAACGTTATGGCACAACGTTTAATTTTTTGGTTTACGGTTCTTGAAAAACAAAATCGTTAGATATACATTTGATAATAAAAATAATTCTTAAATAGTTCTTGGGTGACGATCATGATAATCGTTATGTTGACAATAGTGGGAACGATAGCGAATACATATATGTGAATTTCGTGATAAATATTGTATTACATTTTTGTGTTTTACCGTGATGTTTATTTTTTTATACTATGTACAAAATGTCTACCGAAAATCTTGCTCTGATTTTCAAGTGTAGCATTTTTTCTGAAAGAAAATTTTGTCTAGTTCGCACTTTAGGAAGGTCATTTTGATTTTCCAAGCGGTTTCCATAAATAGGAAATATACGTAGGAAAAACGAGATAGTTTACGAAAATAACGCTTTTATTATTTTTAGTAGTTTTATTTATTGCTTGTGCAAATAAGTATTTTCTGTTTTACGAAAAGTAAACACTTTCACATGTATGCCCATACTATTTGAACTAATACAATATTATGAGAAATGGAAAGTGTACGTGTTTAAAAATTAAACATGAAATTTACCGATCAGTATATTTTTATGATTGCATTTGACGCGCATGTTAGAAATATAAATAGCTGCAATTTGATCGTAAGACAAAATGTAGCTAATATTCTAAAATGCATAGTATCGGAAAACCAATGCAATTTTTGTATAAAGCGTTAACTAGATAAATTATAATATTAGATCTTTTAGTTTGTAACTGAAATACTGAAGATATTCTACAGGGCTAAAAATTAATATGTAAAAAAAAATAAAAATAAAAACTGTATCAAAACTTTCAAATTGGTTTCCAACAATAATCGCATTTTAACATAAGTGTACGCACGGGAGAGGCAGAAGAGGCGGCTGCCTCTTTTTTTCAGCCAAAATATTAAAAAAAACATATTAGGCATACATTTATTTTTAAAATCCTAAACCGCAACCTCGTGCATTAGTACAAACAGGGGAGGGGCCTTTGGAGGATTTCAACTCCCTCCCCCCTGAAAACTCAACTAAGCCTCCAAAAACGGAGTGCTCATCAAGAAAAGTACTAAGTATACAAAAGCAATATTGCATTGACTCTGGCTTAGGCTCCCTTACGAAAAAATTTGGACTGTTTTTCGTGTGATTTTTCTGTAAGGTTTGGTTTCAATGAGCACACCTATGCATTTTAAATTCTGAACATACCGAAGAACGTATTGGTTTTATAGCGATGTTTTGTTTTTCTAAAATTCTAAAAATTCTATTTTATTCTGTCTGTAAACAATTTGTCTTCCAAACGATTTCCTCTGATTTTCAAGTGTAGAAACTTTTCCGAATGAAGATGAAAATATTCCCTGGTTTGCGATTAATTTCCTTCTTAACGATTTTGATATTCATGTTGCAGTTTCTCAATGGAGGAAAAGGAAAAGGACGAAAATACCGTAGGGTAAACGGAGCAATGCGTAGTGATAACGGTTTCATTATTTTATTATTGGTTTTTTTTTTTCTTGTATCGAAATTCGGTAAAAAAAAATCACAGTGATCTAAAATTATAAACATAGATTATATTGTTATATCGCATTGCCGGCACGCCGCGAGGGTTGTATCGCGACAAATATTAAATTTCAAGATTTCGGTGTCTTTGAATTCGTAATTTGTTTTTTTTTTTTTACGCCGGTCAACGAAACACGCGTATCGCACCGAAACGGATGTTAACGAAATATTATTTGCGAATAACCGTTACAATGCCGTTGCACTGATGGCTGGAAACGTGTTACGGTATTGCGCCGGTGACACAAATCCTCCGCGGACGGCGATGAAAACATTTTACGCGCGTTTCCCGGGCGCTAATACGGCCCGAACGGGTACGTCCACGTCCGCGATCCCCGTGCGCGGGGCTAGGGGAGCGAGAGGACGTTATGTACGGATGTACGGGCGGAGAATAGAATAGCGACGAGAAAAAAAAAAAAAAAATTGTTTATTGTCGTGACAACAACGCGACGGCGACGGGGCATCAATTTTACGGGCGCGCGGATCGTCTGCCCGCGACCGTTCTCATTGTCCGTCCGCGATGCCGCGCGTTATTAATCACCCGCCCCGACACGGGCGCGCGCCGCGCGTACGCACGCCCGGGCGCGACGCGTCGGGGCGGGCGAGATATTATTTTATAAATCTCCGCGTCGTCGCCGTCGGTGTATCGCGGCCGCCGCGAAATGCGTGCCGGGCGGCGCGCGCGGTACCGTCGACGGGATTTGCGCGGGGGGGGGGATACGCGCGTTTAAAAACCGTCCCGCACGGACGCCGGGCGCGATACCGCCCCGGCGTAAATTTCACCCCCGCGGTACGCGACGCGCGGCGGCCCCGGGGACG